TTAGTAAATAAAATCTAAACCCACTTAAAGTATTTACAGATGCTAGACCCCATAGGTCAGCATGTAAATACTCTAGTATAGAATTTGATTTGTGAATTCCAGTTTTAAAAGACAGCTTATTTTGTTTTCCAATAACATAGTCTTCACAAAATTCTAGTTTTTCAATATTATCCTTTCCAAAATATTTTAATTTGTTTAAAATTGTCAATCCTTTTTCACTAATATGGCCAAGTCTCCTGTGCCAAATCAGGGTCTTATTGTCATGTGATTTTACAAATGCAGAGCTATTTCCAACTAATGGTTTAGCTTGCAATGTAAAGATTCCATTTGATTTAGGAGAAGAGATTATTTTTATACAGTTAAGACTAATTACAGTTTGTCTTTTATGAATTATAATTTCATATTCATCATCCAATTGCCCCAAAGAAATCAAGTTTCTTTGAAGATTAGGTACATATCTGATCTGAGACAATTCAAGAATATAGTTGTTTTTCAGTAACAACTTAAGGTTTCCAATACCTCTTATTTGACAGGTCATATTGTTCCCCATCTGAACTTGACCCCCACTATCCAGGTCAGTATAATCAGTGAACCATTCTTTAATGGGACACATGTGGAAAGAACACCCAGAGTCAAGAACCCATTCATTTTGGTTTCTTTTGGTTGTGGTAACAAAAAACAACTCCCTATATATCAGGTTCATTATTGTAGACAACAGCTGCAGACCCATCTATATTTGGTTTACCTTTCATGTCTGATATTTTCTTAAAACAGTCCTTTATGAGATGTCCTGTTTTACCACAGTAATAACATTTTCTGGCTGGCAACATAGGTTTTGATTGATTTCTGTTTTGATTTCTGAATTTAGGAAATTGAGGCTTTCCCTTCTTGTGTGAATTAAAGTTACATTGATTATTCTTTTTGTTCTGATTTACTTTCTCTCTTACATTCAAACCTTCCCCAAACTTAAAGTCTTTGGATTCTATTTTAAGTTCAAGTTCTTTATTCGTTAGTGCTGATATCACAATATCAACAGTAAGGTCAGTTATCCCATACTCTAAAGCATTTCTCAGTTCTCTGTATTTATCACCTAATGCATTTAACAGAGCAACAACTTGTTGATCTTCAGATAATTCCTCTTCACAGTCAGTCAGTTCTTGAATCAATCTAGTGAATTTATCAAAATTATCTTCTAGGCTTAAGGAGGGATCAAATCTAAAATTATAGAATTGCCTAACGAGATAACATTTGTTGGGCATAGATTTAGTCAGGTATAGGGATTCGAGTTTGATCCATAAGGCTTGAGTAGTAGTAGTTTCCCCAACTTTTCTTATTACACCATCAGACAAATGTAAGAAAATTGAACTCTAGGCAATCTCATCTAACTCCTGTCTCCAATATGCACTCATCTCAGCAGGCCATACCCCATTAATGGCCCCAGCACACCTCTGTTGTAATAATATAGCCCTTATTTTCTGGCACCACAAACTAAAATCTCCAATCCCTCTCCGAATTTCTACTTCAAATTTTTGTGCAGTAGTCATGATCACAGAAAATCCACATATTCAAGTTTATATATTTATGTATATCACACAGGATATAATATGTACAGACAGTGAGAGTAAGCACTAAAGATTTCAATATGGGAATCTTATATTAAGAATGTACAATTATTCAGCAGTAGTATGTAAAGATACAGATACCAAATCGAAAGAGGATCTAAGGAGTGATGACCTATTCAATCCACTGCCCCTTCAGATTCCCATGTCCTCGCAGGAGACCTTGGACAAAGGAAGGTAGTAGAAGATCAATTACCTTAATGACCAACTCTATTTATAGTATATTATCTAAACAACAGTAAACTAAGAAACTAAGAAAAAATAAGGAACTAATACCAAAGATTGAATAAACTGTATTACAGAATGAAGGAGGTAATTAAGAGAATACCAGAACCGGTTGAACAAATCAAGGTATCACACAAGAAGCCAACGAGTCACAACAACTCAATGTGACTTAGTAGTGAGTCACAAGAAATCAGCAGGAATCCGAATGAGTCAAGTTGACTCACTGTTACTCAATACGAATCTTTATTGAAACATTACTCAAAAAATTCAGAAGCCTCAGAAACAACTAAAAAATAGAGTAATCATCAGAAATAATATCACAAAGAAATATCACAAAGTTCGCAGTTGAAAATATCCGTTAAAAATTAAACCGAAGGTAAATCTTGTAAAAGATTTTCACAAAGTGTTCTTGATTTAATATTTAACCCAAAATAAGAGCTAGGGTTTTTTTAAAAAAAATTTAAAGAAAAAACCCTAACTCTTCGTAAACTGCTCTGATTCCACTTGTTGGTCTCAGGATTATTCTTTTCTAAAAATTGATTGCAGCAAAATAATAAAGATTTACAGAATTGTAAAGAACACANAACACCACCACCACTGCCACACGCAAACCACCACCAAGTCACGCTGTTTGCAATGTTGTTCTCACCAAACAGGTCACATTATACATAGGGGTCACATAGGTTTGGTCATATGCATCAAACACCCAACCCTGATACTGATCCACCACTAATTTTAGGCCACAAATCAGTTAAAGTTGGTCATAAACGTCTAAATAGTTGGTCACAAACGCTTAATTGTTAGTCATAGACACCCTACCCATCATTGCCACTGCAACAACCATTGTAATCACACGGTTCACACCACCACCGATCCACACCACTGCTGTAATCACACCGTCACCAATCAACCACACACCAAACTCCAAACCATCAATCGCGGCATCACCAGATTGCGGGTGCCTTGCGCACTACATGTGACCACCACCATCATCTCCACCACCACCACCACCTCAAAAATACCAAAATATCACCACAAAACACCACACAATCAATCTCCGCCGTCGCGCACAGCTGCGCTCTAAGCAAGCATCGATGAGATGTGCCTCGAACAACGGTATCGCTGCCCCTTGAAAACAGTAGGCGAGGCGCAAACAGCGAAGGTGGCTGCCAAGCAGAGAGTCCTTGCAACGTTGCAGCGTCGCCAATCACATACACACCTCCAGTGTGTGTCTTGTCGGAGAAAGCTGGATCTGTAGCGGCCGAGACATGGAGGGGTCACGGGAGAGGAGAGTGAAGAGAGAGAGTAGGATTGTTTAAAATGGTATGGGATGAGTTTGGAATTGAATTGAGATAGGTTGATATATTTTATTATTAATAATTAAATCAATGCTTGGATATTGAATAAAAAACTTTTCCATCCGATTTTTGCATTATGATCTTCAAATATTTGGAATTTTGTAATTTTCCCATAAATGACAAGAGTCCAGCAAAGTGTTAAGCAGATCCAACAAATTAAAACCCCCCAACATCATGTTCAGGGTAATTTCAACTAGAAGCTGAGATTGCAATTTTCCAACTTGCCATTGTTTGGTTACCAGCAAACTCATCCGAGATAGATATTGACTGGACTTCAAATAATAGGATCATAATGAGTCGATCGGCCTAAAAGATTAAATTCGATAATTAGGGTGAATGCCAAAACTGCAAATAAAGGTGTAACTGTTAGAACTTAAAACCTTTTAGATCGACGTCTTCCACAGGAATGGTATATGTGCTGTAGTATTAGACTTGTACATGATGCAGTTGTATTTAATAAAAAAGACCAGTTTCTTATGTTAAATTTTTCCAGTCTAACTTATTACTTGTTCCTTTAGATAAACAAGTGAGTGGTAGTTGAAGTAATTCAACCTCATGAATTTAAGTCTCTTTTGGAATCAAAATAATGTCAGATCAACAGCCATTGACTTGTCACTCTATTTGAAAATCGGAAACTAACTGGAAAATTGGTTTTGTTATTTGCTAAAAATTATATCGTAAAACTGAAACTCGATCGGATGAGAACAGAATGAAGTGGTTATATTGGTCGATCAAGTTGCCCACTTATATTTACAAAAAGTTTAAAGAAATAAAAGAAGGAAAAAAAACCGTTAAGTGATGTAGACAAATATCACGATAAGTTGTTATGAATATCCTTGACATTATAAGATCTTTGATATCCACATTAAGTTCAATCTCGACTCAACTTTATTAAATTTTTTACCTTTTCCGAGTTAATACCCAAAGTGGATACATGGAGAAAACAAGCAAACATCAGTATTTTTCAAGAATTTAAATTTTTGACAGTAAATATTGATTGCATTTTCTTTTATCATATTACGTTGTGCATAAACCTCAGACCTCCATAAATTAATATACGACTCCTCTTAGCTAAAGCTAAGTATTCAAGATCTAATTACTGTAGGAAAATATTCAAAATAAAATGAACCGTGAATGAAGAATTGTAACAACATTCAAATTTTAATTCTCTAATTAATTTTGTATTGAATTGATGCTTACAAAGCCTTCATGGCTATTGTAATATATTGCTCTAATGGCTATTGTAACAATTTGGTTTTAATACAAAATTAATAAGAGTTGAAACCTCCCTCATTCTAGGACTACATAAGTGTTCTCCTCCTTATTTCTCACGCCAAAAACTTTGACAGCTCTCCCCTCTCTCTAATTTTCTTTCTTCTCTATTTGCTTTCAAGAGTTTTGTTCTTCGTAGTTTAGATAATTATTTTCTAGCTTGGTGATAGAATTGTATGCATTCTCAATTTGCCTAAAGTAGCGACGACATGCTAATAAGCTAATTTCAACTATTGTATCTTAGAAGACAAACGCTATGAGTCCTCTAAAACCAGAATAAGGGGAAAATTCATTTTAAGGAAACTATATGTAACACAAGCATTGATTCCTTTTAATACCGCTACTACATCAACAATCAAATTTCCTCTCCTTTATTGTTAACCTGTTTATTGTACCGTTTCTTTTCATTATTTTATAATTTCAGCCGTATTCCTAATTTCCTTTTATATTTTCCTAACAGTTACGATGTTAACACGTATTATTGGACAAGAGAGACAAGACAGTGCTATTATGTAGCAGCAGGCATTCAGAAGTGATTAATAACAGAATTCTTGATTCCAATAAAATCGGTGCATTTTGTGACGTCAAAATTTCCTATCTTCTGTTGGAACAAAGAATTGATCAAATCCTCCAAGCTATCAACAGTGTACATTAAATGGTTGCCTATTTCGGCCTCGTTTTCTATCCCGTATGCATATTTCTGCAGGTAGTTCTTATAAGGCGGAACAACAGCCTGCACCACAAGCTGGCATATTCTCGATTTTAAGCCTTTATCAAACACCATCCAATCAGATTGCTTCTTATACATATTGTTGAAGGCCTCGTTGTACAAATTGATTCGCTTCTTTGCCAGATCTTGATCAACGGCACTACCCCCAGGGAACAAGATTAGGCCTTCTTCGTGTAAAATAACCGGAAGTTTTTGCCAACTCTCTCTCAAGTACATTGTTTCATAGTACTCAAAGTATTCTTCTTTAGCTCTCAGCCAAGAATTCCCCATCAGATGTCCGAGTTTCGTTCCTTTGATGTTGTTACAGAAGATCCAATGATTATTCATCATAAAAAAGTATGACAGGGCAGTTTCCTTGTATGCCTTTGCCCAAGAATTCAAGTTGAGCTCAAGTTCGTTCATTATGTTACGAATCTCATTTAAAGGAACTCCCTCTAAGAAACTTTTGTGATTCCAAACTCGATATATCTCCAGAACTTGGATTAGAACTGACCTGTTCTCGTCTTCAAGAAGCTGATTACAATATTGAGTCACGAAGTGTACGGGCCTTGGGACACTGCCATCAGGTGGAGGACTGGATTGCCTTTGTAACTCGACTTCGACACGAAGTTCCCAAAAAATTTCAAAAGTCCCAGTAACTACTTTCTTAACGAGATCCCTCGTCTCATTTTGAATCTTAGCACATAATTTCCCACTGAAGAGCCTGTTGAAATCCAATCTCAGTTTGTCCAGAGTTGCAAAAATCTTCAACAACTTTATAAGCTTGACTGCATCCTTCTTACATTTAGTAATTGTGTCGCCAAATTTGATGAAATCGTTGATTCCAGATTGTGTTGCAATCTTTGCAAAGCAGTGCATCCAGATATCTGATCCCGCCTTCTCAAAGACTTCACTGCAAAGACGATGCTCCTTATCAAGTAGATATTTCACAGCAAATTGGAGGTGCTTATCCCACAGATACATGAAGCTCTCTGCAGTTTGCGCACTGTCAAATTCACACAATTGTATATGTAAGTAATCCAAGTCGAGGGCTTGTAAACTTGCTCGTACATTTGAACTTCGGAATTCTGCATAGATGGACATGCAATTTTCAAGTCGATTATTGGCAGCTAATCTCTCAGTGATGGCTTGCAACTTCTGGACCACAGGCAGTGGCAAAGACACCCGTATTATACTTGCTTTTCCCTTGTGGGAGGGAAAGGACGAATACAACGGAAATGGAGAACTATTTTCCATCAACATATGCCTGAATTCATTCTCCAAGTTGTCAAGTGCAGCCGCTAGAACCCCACTGTTTTGCCCCATTGCTTGCAGCTCCCATAATATATCCAATGCCTTGGACACATTCATTAGGTACAAATGGTCATCAGAAACTTCACAATTCTTCAGAAACAGCACCAAATCTTCCATCCACAAACTCACCAACTGCGAATTACCAGTAAGAAGCTTTAGCACATGTTCAAGGCGTTTCACATTTGCAATATACACGAATAAATCAGAATCGTTATCAGGCACGAGTGAGTGCTCGAGCTCAAAAACCACGTCCAAGATCTTCAAAACACCAGCAGCAGGGCCTATTGCTCGATCAACGTGACTTCTTGTCTCATAAAGCCTGCATTTACAGGCCATATCTTTGATAGCACTTTCAAGAAATGGCAAACTTTGGTTCCATTTTTCCAGTCTTAGACTAATCTTACTGATTTCAAAAGCTATATCTTTTGATTTTTTCAAGCTGCCTTTCAAAATTTTTTGAGCAGAAACAAGTTTTTCAATATCCTCTAACTCTGCCATTCTCAAATTTACTATCTATTAGAGCAAAAATCTCTGGGCATTTTATAGAGCACTTGAGCTGCATGAATTTATGGACACGGCAACCCCACCCCACCACACATACACACAAGCATTGTTGATTTACCAAACATCAACGGGCGTAGTGAAAATAAATCTACCAGACTAAAACCAAACTTTACTATAAAACAAAAGAAATCAAGAGATTCTCAACCACCCAACACTTAAAGAAACTGCTAACATATTAAAGTAAAACACATTTTCTAACCTCCCTTTACTCATGATCGTCACATGTTGCCCTCACTCTTCACTTTCTTATTTTTCTTCTTTTCGAAACTAAGAAACCCAACCCCATGTTTTTATGTCAATTTGGCATGTACCCAACAACTAATAACAAAAATGAAGTGAATCTCAAGTAATGTAATTATTTGCAGAATTTTGTAAGTTTATGAATTTATTTTATTTTATTTTTATTTGCTTGCAAAAGCTAATTATAGATTCACTTGCCTGTTGTTTATAAATTTATAACTAATGTATTTTACAACTCGCATGGGCGAATCCAGCATCAAAGTCCACATAGGGTGGAAATTAATTGTTGACTATTAACCGTCAATAATCAACGATCATAATAATTCGGTCGTTTATTAAAACTTGATTAAATAATATTAAAATTAATAGTTTGGTCATTTATTAAAATTTGATTAAATAATATTAAAAGTTAGTCAATGTATATGGAAATGAACTAAAACGTAAAAATTATATACACATGAAAATATAATTTAATATAACTAAAAAAAAAAAAAAAAAAAAAAAAGAAGAAGAAGAAGAAGATACAACCTTACTCTGTAGCTGTAAATTTAGACAACTGCATTCTATGAGATCTCATATTTTGAAAACGTTGCAATATTACCTCATTTTCAAGTTTCTTAAAAATTTCTTTCTCCACGTAAATCACCAAATTGTCGTTCAACCATTCATCTTCCATTTTGTTGCTCAAGTCACTCTTGATTAGATTCATAGCAGAAAATACCCTTTCAACACTTGCAGTTGCCACAGGTAATATCAAAATTAAGGTGATCAACATATAAACCAATGAAAAATAACAGGAACTTCTAGAAACTTCTGAGCTACACAAGATATGTTATTGAGATTAAAAAATGCTTCATCCATTCTCACAAGCATAAGAACCTTGTCAAGTTGAGATCTAAGTAATAAAATCTCTTCACTATTGAAGTCCAAAGGATAGAACTAAGTAAGACGTAGCAATTTAGCCTTATCAAAAGTTGCAAATGAATTTCTAGGACTTAAACACGAAATACAAGTAAAGAGCTCAATAGTTTTTTTCTGGAAAACGATCATTTAACTCTTGTAAGATTGAGTCTATCATATGACAATACAAATCAACATAAAAATGATGATAATAAGTCTCCTACTGAGCTACACGCCTAGGTCGACCTTTAACTACCACAATATCTTTCATATTGAGCACTAAAATATGTGTATCAACACAAAACTCAATCACCGTACTCAACAAAGTATCGCAACTATTATTTCTTAGGTTCTGCAATGCACACTTACACAAATTCAATAATCTCATAGCATTCTAAATATCATGATCATTTTTCTGTAAGGCTTGTGAAATGTGATATGTAATTGCAAGAATTTCAAACATAACGTGGAAAATGAACACAAACTCAAGATATTGCATAGTGTCCATCTATCTTATGGCCATTGATTTTTTTCTCTGAATTTACGCTATCTTCTGATATATCCTTAAGAACATCTATGATAATATTAAACATATTAATAAAATGAGTAATTGTCAGTAAATGTGAGCCCCACTTAATATTACCTTGGCATGCTAAACTCATTTCTTGAAACTGATCAGTTTTACCAAACAATTCCCCAATATTAAGTGGGTGTTTGGGAGCCATTAAGTTTGGCCAAAAATAAATTATGGGATCACTGGCAATTATTTATCTAACACCTCATGTGAAGTAAACAGAGACGGCGGCTGTATCTTTTCCATAAACTGCCCTTTTCAATAGGTTTTAGGCACAATTTGAATTGTTTTGATTTTTGATAAATACAAAGGGTAAAGTTGAAATTTTATGCCATTTGAATTCAAATAACAATAAACAATGACGTATAGGTCCCACGTTCACGTGACGAAAAAAATACATTTTGGATAAAAAAAAAGGGATCAAACGGGGGCTAAGTTTCTCTAGAATATTAGAATGATAACTTCCTCAAAGAGCATCTACATACTTACATAATGCACCAACCAAATTTACAATAACAGCAAGCATGTTGAAAAATACCAAGCATACAATTTCTACGTACTACCAAAACAACTGCCAACTGAAGTTGGTAAGCAAAGTAATAAACATACATAGTATGTGCGTTCTCTATTAGAATTAAAGCTTTCAAACCATTGAACTCACCTAACATATTACTTACTCCATCATAACTTTAACCTGTCAGGCTAGATATGATCATCTCATGTATAGAAAATATTACATCAATGGCATCCTTTCAGTGATTGGGCACAAGTATTGGTGACATGGGAAATGCCCAAAAAGGCTCCTTTACTTGCCCACTTTTATCAACAAACCTCAAAAAAACTGTTATTTGTTCTTTCATAGAATTATCACGATCCTCATAAACCAAAATTGAAAACAAAAAAATCACCTATTTCATTTATAATAGCCATTGTCGTCTCTACGACACAGCAATTAACCAAATCATTTTAGATATTTGGTGAAATCATTTGGTCATTTTTAGGAGCATTACTAAATAATATTTCTTTTAACTTCCTTACAACGAGCTGCATATCGGTTTAGTAGCTCAATTAGTTTTCCTCTATTAGGAGACTTTTTTGATTCATCATGAACACAAAATGACAATCTTTGCATCAAGAGGAGTCTAGTACAATGTAGCATCACAGTCAACATGGTCACATAACTTTGTTGTTGACTACTACTCTACTTTTGAGCACTATCAAAGAGACAAACATGATCTTTCAATGTCTTTTTGTGCTTTCAATTCCTAAAGTCGGTCTTAGAAAATATATGTCCACCCCCTTGACCCCCTCTATTGGGTTTGAACAGGTAGCAATACAAACAATATGTCGTATTCTTTTCTATACTGTATTCCAACCAATAAATTTTGAAGAACCATTCTTTCCGAAAACATCTATTATCATTTCCCATCGATTTTCTTGAAAAGTCATCTCCATATGGTTGACAAGGACCTTTCTCCAAGTATGCCGTCCTAACATCATCTCTGATTTTAAGATCATATGACTCGATAGGAGAGTGTATCCCTGGATCAGATATAAGATTATCCACATTGAATTGAGCTCGAGACTTCTTTGTGTTATTTAATAATGCTTGTGCTCGACTAGAATCAGTGATGGGACTATATACACAACTAGACCTAGAAGAATTGGGTATGGAGTTTCGTTTCGGTTGAAAAAATCATTCTATAATCTGCAAAATACCCCAATTGATTTTTTAATTAGAATGATTAAAAAAATATCGAGTACACACAGGTTGAATAAGTGGCCAACATCTTCTCAATTAAATTTTTTCACTTATCCTAATTTCCTGAACGTAAATTTCCAAATCAATAATCAGAACTCATAAAACATAAATCACTTATCATAAATGACAATTCGCAAACATAATTTTGTAAACATAAATTTCCAAATCAATAATCATAACTCATAAAACGTAAATTACTTATCATAAATCGTAATTCGCAAACATATTTTGGTAAACATAAATTTTCAAATCAATAATCATAACTCATAAAACGTAAATTACTTATCACAACTCACAATTTGCAAACATAATTTCGTAAATATAAATTCCCAAATCAACAATCATAACTCATAAAACGTAAATTACTTATCATAAATTACAATTCCCAAATATAATTTCGTAAACATAAATTCCTAAATCAATAATCATAACATTTAATACTCAACATCAACAAGTCAAGTAGTCAACAAAATAGAACAAAACCAAAATCAAAAAACAAAAACAAAGAGAGAGAGAGAGAGAGAGAGAGAGAGAGAGAGAGAGTAACTAGTCACCAGCTCGAGACCAAAAGGCAGAAACGATAGATGGCAGTCAGCAGCAGAACACGTCATTGGCAGCTCCAGGCTCCCATAGGTGCTGCCTTTTCTTCGATTTCGAATGGAATTATAGAATGGAGTCTGCGCCGTTTGGATTGGAGAGTGGAGAAGAGAGGAAAAAGTGTTTGGCTTTCACAATTTTTGCATTTGGATTCTTGGAATCGATTTGAAAATGGAATAGATTTGATCATTTAGAATTTAGACCATTTGTTAATTCATTCATTTGGGAATTGGGCTAAACAAAATGAGGCCCAACTTCTGATTTACTCAATTACTCACTTCAGCCCAAAAAAAAAAAAGCGCAACTTACAAAAATACCCTTAAAATTATGAATCTAAATCATATGAAATGTTTTTTCAAAGTAAAAAATACTTTGTGATATTAAAAAATGTAACACATTATCACTTTCTTATAAAAATTGTCACTTTTTAATAAAAAAAAAAGTGACAACTATCACTTTTTTTATTAAATGTAATGTCATTTCTATTAAAAAAGTGATGTTTGTCACTAAAAAAATTATAAAAATTAATAAGGTGATTGAAAAAAAAAAGTAACAGATTGAAAAAAAGTAACAAATACAAAAAAAAAGTGGCAAAAATCCAAAAAAGTGACAGAAATCTAAAAAAAAAAAAAAAAAGTGACACGCTCAAAAAAAGTGACAAAAATTAAAAAAGTGACCCTCTCGGTAAACTATACGGCTTCAAGTACTAATTGATGATGTGGACATTGCAAATTTCAACACCTATCAATTTCTCCAAGAATTTATAATAGAAATTAGCATAACAGATCTTTAATTACTTGTTAGAACTTTATCCTACTATTAATCCAGTTTAATGATCAAACTTTAATTAGTTCCAAATTT